TCCCTCCTCCTAGGCAATAGGTAACACATCGAAATCATCTCGGTTTTCACGTCGAGTTCAAACTGAAGTCAGTGCACTGTCCGCTGTGCACTTGTATTATTATTATTATTATTATTATTATTATTATTATTTATTATGATGATGATAGTAGTGTAAAAAATGAATAAAAGTAAACGGGGGAAGTACAAATGTCAAAAGCGTGTCATAACTACAGGGGCAGACCATGGTGGCAGAAAACGAATCTATATGGACTCAAACTTCCGTTTCAAAAAAAAAAAAAAAAAAAAAAAAGGGGGGGGGGGGGCCCCCCCCCCCAACAAAAAAAAAAAAAAAAAAAAAAAAAAAAAAAAAAAAAAAAAAAAAAAAAAAAAAAAAAAAAAAAAAAAAAAAAAAAAAAAAAAAAAAACACGTTTTTTTTCCCTTGCCCGTGTTTTTTTTTTTTTTTTTTTGGCATTGTCCGTGCTTGTGTCAAGCGAAAATAATATCTTGTGAAGTGCGGAGGCGCTACTGGAGAAAAGCAGTAGTAAGGGCATACTCACACTAGCGGGTGTTTTTGTTAAATAGAAAAATCTGCTATGCTGTTAGAGTCACACTAGGGTGCTTATCACTCCGTTCAATCTCGGTGGCCATGTGTCAGTTTGCATTCTTCTAGAATAGGGAAAAAAAAAAAAAAAAAAAGATGATTGGATGGCCTAACCTTTGGATGGATAGGGTGGAACTCCGAGGGACCAATTGGCACTCTACGCTCTTGGCCAAAGCGAATGAATGCAAGCCATAATTGCAGTCAAATTCATTTTTACTAAAGTGCTAGTGTGAGTGCGCCCTTAGACTTACGCCGCACACACTCAGAGAATCAAAGCAAAAAATAGACTCAGACTCGAAATTTCAGCAAAACACAGCGTAAGGACGGCACCTTTCTCCGAGTCAGTGAAATGCAGATATCTCAATCTGTGACTGGGCAGCGCATTGCGCGCCGCATTCGAATTATAGAACGCACAAATGATGGAACCCCGATTTGTTTCCTTTTGGTAAAAAAGGAAAAATGAATTCGAAAGAATTCTAGATTGCAGTCAATAGTTGAGATAATCCAAACTTCGTGGCTCTTCACCGAAAAATAAGAAGCAAGCAAAAAGAAAAGAAAAAAAAAAAAAAAAAAAAAAAAAGGCAATGAAAGTTTTGGCTGTCTATAAGGGCTTCCATGCTGTCCGTCTATAATCAGCCTCCTTGATTAAA